GCTTCAGTGACCAGGCCCAGGCCAAGTGACCGGGACCAGACTCAGTGACAAGGCCCAGGCCCATTTACCAGGCACAGGCTCAGTGACCAGGCCCAGACCCTGTGACCAGGAACAGACCCAATGACAAGGCCCAGGCTCAGTGACCAGTGCTAGGCCCAGTGACCGGGACCAGGCTCAGTGGCCAGACCTAGACCCAGTGACCAGGATCAGACTCAGTGACCAGGAGCAGACCCAGTGACAAGGTCCAGGCTCAGTGAATTGGCCAGGCTCAGTGACTGGGCCCAGGTTCAGTGACCAGGCCTAGACCCAGTGACCAGACCCAGGCTCAGTGACTGGACCCAGGCTCAGTGACCAGGCCCAGGCTTAGTGACTGGGACCAGGCTCAGTGACTGCACTCAGACTCAGTGACCGGGCCCAGTGACCAGGACAAGACCTGGTGACCAGGCCCAGGCCTAGTGACTGGGGCTAGTCTCAGGCCCAGGCCCAGTGACCAGGCCCAGGCTCAGTGATCAGGCCCAGACCCAGTGGCCAGGCCCAGGCCCAGTGACCAGGCCCAGACTCAGTGAGCAGGCCCAGTGATGAGGACTGGGCCTCTGTTATGGAGGCCAGGGTCCAGGGGTCAGAACCAGGACGAGGCTCAGTGTCCAAGACCCACCCAGCGCTGGGTGTTGTCCAGGCAGATCTTGCTCTTATCTTTAGCCACACCAGCCATTGGCCTAAAGAAGCCCCAAGTCAGGGTCATGCAAGGGGACCCCGTGATGGCGCGGACCCCGCCCGACAAGTGGAAAGCACCTGCTCCTGGACGCTCCCTCCCTGCCCTCTCTCCTCTACGCTCCCCTGCCCTCTCTGCCCTGCCCTCCCCAGGCCTCCTCCTCCCTCCCCCCCAACCCTGTGCCCAGAGTCAGACAGTCTTTGTCTCCGAGAACAGTTTATTGCACTGGGAAGGTCCATGTGGGAGGAGGGGCCGCTGAGCAGGCTGGGGGGCATCTTCGGGGCTCCAGGAGGCTCCTCCCTGCAAGCACAAGAGGGCTCAGGGCCTGGGGGCTCCTGGGGGTGGGAGGCGGACCCCAGCACTGACTGACCAGGGTGCCCTGGGCTCTGACCCCAGGTCTGCCTGCATCCCGGTGCCTGAGGGGTCATCTCTGGGGACCCACCATGAAGTGGGGTCATCTGATCTGGGAGCCGAGGCCCTGCAGTGTGAACCCGCTGTGCCTCCCGGCCACCCACCTGTGCCCAGCGGGCTCCCACTCAGTACTGGGGGCCTTCCCTGCTGTGGGGGGGCGCCCGGACGCTCGTCACGGTCAGTGCTGTGCTGTAGAGGAGGCTCAGCAGGAAGAGGGTGAGCAGCGTGACGGTGGTGGGCCACAGGCTGGCCCCTGGCGCGTCCTCCTCCAGGCTGTCCTGCAGCAGGTCCAGCATCACGCAGAGGGGTGACTTTGAGTTGTCTGGAAGACACACCGCATCCTGTGTGGGGCTGCCTGCCCGCCGCCCGCACTGGGCCCCTCTCGGGCAGTGCCTCAGGCCCCGGGACAGAGGCTGGGACCTTGAGCTTTGGAGACGCTGCAGGTCCCCGGTGTCTGAGATCTTGGGGAGGGGCCTGGCCTGGTGGGTGACACGGCCGCTCGAAGGAGAGCCTGGACCCAAGGCCTAGTCTACACAGCAAGCCCTCACCAGGGCCCGGGGGCTCCTGGGGGGTGGGAGGCGGACCCCAGCAGACTGGCCTTGTCCTGGACCCCGAGTGGGGCCAGAGGACCAGACCTGGCCGTCACCACGTGTTCCCGGCTGGGACCAGACCTGAGTTAGTCGTGCAGTGTCTCGGGGGCCAGAGGCGGGTAACCAGGGTCTCTGTTGCCCCCCCAGGGGATGAAACTGAGAAGCTGCAAGAAGCCCAAGGGAAGCCAAGGAGGGCCGAGGGAGCGAGGGAACGGCAACCAGCACGGGCAGTCCTGACGCCCCAGGGCCAGGGCTGCGGGATTCATGTTTAACGGGATTCGGATCTGCTTGTCATATAAAGGCACGCACAATCATTAACCCACTCACCCTTTATCCACACCCCAACACATCCACCATCCAGCCTCCATCCATCTTCCATCCACCCATCCTCCATCCATCCATCATCCATCCTCCATCCATCCATCATCCATCCTCCATCCATCCATCATCCATCCTCCATCCATCCACCCACCATCCAGCCTCCATCCATCATCCATCCATCTGTCATCCATCCATCCTCCAGCCTCCATCCATCCATCCACCCATCCTCCATCCATCCATCCACCCATCCTCCATCCATCCATCATCCATCCTCCATCCATCCACCATCCATCCATCCATCCACCCACCATCCAGCCTCCATCCATCATCCATCTGTCATCCATCCATCCATCCATCCTCCATCCATCCATCATCATCCTCCATCCATCCATCCATCCTCCATCCATCCATCTTTTTGTCTGTCCATCCTTCCATTCTCCCATCTCCCATCTGTCCATCTACATGTCTGTCTGTCCTTCCATCCATTGTAGGTCCTATAATCTATCTGCCAATCTGCCATTGTCCATCTGTTGGTTTGTCCCCCACTCCCACCCAGGCTGGCTCTCCCTCTCCATCTCTTTAGGGTGCTCCTCTTTTGGGGAGGTCCGGGCCCCTGGTGGCTGTGGCTCCTTCCCTGTGCAGCCCTTTCTCATTAATCCACTTCTTAGTTCCCCTTGGTGACTCGACTCTCAATAGGGGAGCAATGGCCAGGGGTGGGCTCTCCCCTGCACCCTGGCTGTGGGCACAGAGGAAGGCCAGGTCAGTGTCCTGGGGAGGCAGGTGTCTGGGAGGAGACCCTGGGCCTCTGCCCCCTGGTGGTGTCCTGTGCCAGGGTTCACAGCGGTCCTGGTGCTCCCCTGCCTGACGGCCGGGATCCCAAGCAGGAGCTGCAGAGCTGCCCTGGGGGAGTTGTCTCTGTCGCCTCCCCCTGCCCTGCGCCCTGTCCAGGGTGGAGCTCAGATGTGAGTCTGGTGGCGGGTAGGGAGCAGGAGCCCCTGAGGGGCCTGGAACCCAGCCCTGCGCTGGCCCCGCTGGGCACACGGGGACACTCAAGGAGAAACAGGCTGAGGGCAGGCAGGGGCTCCCCTTGTGTTTCTGGAGCTGAGTCTGGGCTGGCAACATCGCGGACCTGCAGGGCTCAGCTGTGTGCCTGTGTGTGCAAGCACCTGGGAGGGCACCTGTGTGTGCGTGTGAGCACCTGTGTGTGTGAGCACCTGTATGTGTGCCTGTGTGCGCAAGCACCTGGGAGGGCATGTGTGTGAACACCTGTGTGTGTGTGTGACCACCTGGGAGGGTGTGTGTGAACATCTGTGTATGTGTGTGAGCAACTGGGAGGGTGTGTGTGTGAACACCTGTGTGTTTGTGTGAGCACCTGGGAGGGCGTGTGTGAGCATCTGTGTGTGTGTGTGAGCACCTGGGAGGTTGTGTTTGTGAGCACCTGTATGTGTACCTGTGTGTGTGAGTACCTGGGAGGGCGTGTGTGAGCACCTGTGTGTGTGTGAGCACCTGTGTATGTGAGCACCTGTATGTGTGCCTGTGTGTGTGAGCACCTGGGAGGGTGTGTGTGAGCACCTGTGTGTGTGTGAGCACCTGTGTATGTGTGCATGTGAGCACCTGGGAAGGTGTGTGTGAGCATCTGTGTGTGTGTGTGAGCAAATGGGTGTGCTCACCTGTGTGTGTGAGCACCTGGGAGGGCGTGTGTGAGCATCTGTGTGTGTGTGTGTGTGAGCACCTGTGTGTGAGCATCTGGGAGGGTATGTGTGTGAACACCTGGGAGGGCATGTGTGAGCATCTGTGTGTGTGTGAGCACCTGTATGTGTGCCTGTGTGTGTGAGCACCTGGGAGGGTGTGTGTGAGCACCTGTGTGTGAGCATCTGTTTGTGTGTGTGAGCATCTCTGTGTGTGTGTGCGTGCAAGCACCTGTGTGTGTGTGTGAGCACCTGTGTGTGTGTGTGTGTGTGAGCAGCTGGGAGGGCACCTGTGTGTGTGTGTGAGAGCACCTGGGAGTGCGTGTGTGAACAGTTGTGTGTGTGTGAGAGCAGCTGGGAGGGCACCTGTGTGTGTGTGTGAGCACCTGGGAGGGCGTGTGTGAACACGTGTGTGTGAGCACCTGTGTGTGTGAGCAGCTGGGAGGGCACCTGTGTGTGTGAGCACCTGTGTGTGTGTGTGTGAGCACTTGTGTGTGAGCAGCTGGGAGGGTACCTGTGTTTGTGTGTGAGCACATGTGAGTGTGTGTGAGAGCACCTGGGAGGGCATATGTGAACACGTGTGTGTGTGTGAGCAGCTGGGAGGGCACCTGTGTATGTGAGCACCTGTGTGTGTGAGCACCTGTGTGTGTGTGTGAGCAGCTGGGAGGGCACCTGTGTGTGTGTGTGAGCACCTGTGAGTGTGAGAGCACCTGGGAGGGTGTGTGTGAACACGTGTGTATGAGCACCTGTGTGTGTGAGCAGCTGCGTGTGTGTGAGCACCTGGGAGGGCGTGTGTGGGCATGGGGGGGCGTGTGCGTGAGCACCTGGGGGCGTGTGTGCCCGCGGGGCGTGGGGGAAGCCTGGCCTGCACCCCGGCTGCGCCTCTCCCTGCCCCCCGCCCCGTCCCGGGGCACTTTCCTAGCACAGGTGCTGGCGCCGCGCCTCGCCGGCCACCCGCAGCCGCGCACACTCCCGCGCACACTCAGACTCGCGCGCACACTCCCGCGCACACTCAGACTCGCGCGCACACTCCCGCGCACACTCAGACTCGCGCGCACACTCCCGCGCACACTCAGACTCGCGCGCACACTCCCGCGCACACTCAAACTCACGCGCACACTCCTGCGCACACCCAGACTCGCGCGCACACAGGCTCCCGCAGCGCAGGGCCCGCGCCAAGCTGGGCAGGAAGCTCGGGCGCCCGGCCGGGAGGACGCGCGGACGCGCGGCGGCGGCACGACAAGCGCAGGCTGCTGCGGCTGGAGTTTATTGCGCGGCTCAGTAGCAGACCCCGTCCGCCTCCGCCACGACCACGGACACGTTGACGTGGGTGGGTTTACCCGCCATGCGGTCGATGGTCTTCATGGTGAAGCCCTCCTCCAGCGACTGGTGGCCCACCAAGCAGGAGAAGTTGTCCCCCTGCCTCCAGGCCTCGGGGTCCACGCGCAGCAGGCTGGTCACGGCGTAGGTGTCCTTCTGGCCGGGCTCAAGCTGGGCGCCAAAGGTCAGGGAATCCTCCGGGGGCAGCTCCCGGCCCGCGTGCTGCCAGCGCACCAGCACCTGCTTGGGGCTGAAGCCGCGGACGATGCAGGTGAGCGTCACCTGCTCCTGGAGGCTCAGCTCTTCCGACGGCGGCGGCAGCAGGTGCACCTGGGGTACGTGGATGGGGCCTGCGGGTGGAGAGGGGGGTCAGGGCCTGGCAGGTGGCAAAGGGCCCCGCCCCCACCCCAGGGCTGGAGGAGGCCAGTGAGGGCCCCTGCGGGCAGGGCTGGGCCTGGCGCACCTGCGGACTTGGAGATGGACTTGCTGAGTGGCTGCTGCAGCTCAGGGTGGGAGGCGGTGCAGGTGAAGGTCTCCTTCTTGTTCCAGGGGTCGGCGCAGCCAAGCAGGTAGCTGGACACTCTGTAGCAGCCGCAGGAGTCAAGCTCGGGCGTCCCCTGGACGACGTTTGTCCCGCCCAGGGAGTTCCAGGTGAACGTGGCGTTCTTGGGGTCCCTCAGGCCGCTCAGTGTGCAGGTGAGGTTGGCCTCGGACTTCATCAGCAGGTCCTCGAGGGCGGGCTCCTGCAGCGCCAGGCGGGGCTGGCAGGTCTGTATGGGGCACTTTGGGCACGGCTCTGTTGGAGCAGAGAGAGAAGGGGGTGGTCAGTACCCCTGTTCCGTCCCTCCCCTCCCACCTGCCCCCTCTGCAGCTGGGGCCGGGCCCGGCTCTGACCTCGGCAGGTCACGTCCAGGGTCTTGCTGAAGCCGTAGTGCTGCACTTGGCAGTGCATGGTGCCGGACTTCGGGCACTGTTTGGTGGGCGCCACCAGTTGGCTGCTCATGGTGTACAGACCCCCGGTGCCGGGCTGTGTGGGCACGAAGTCCCTGATGGTCACATCATTTCCGCTGTGGTCCCAGGTCACTTTGGCGGGCAAAGGGATGAAGCCGCGGACCAGGCAGCCGATGACCACGGACTCGGCCTTCTCCGTGCCGGGCAGTGTCAGCGGGAAGACGGTGGGGTTGGTCTTGGTCGCTGCAACACAGGGGCCCTGTCAGACAGTGGCCTGCGGAGGGTGGGGCCGGGGCCGAGCCGCTGCCCTTGGGGCCGCCGCGCCACACTGGAGGACACCAGCAGACAGGGCGAGTGACCGGCCCAGGCCACCATGCTGCACGCTGTGCCCAGGGTCAGGGCGGGTGCGGGCTGCACACTGCTTCCGAGAGGCCCCTGGGCACCGCCCCTGCCTGGGCACAGAGCCCCGGGCAGCCACGACGCTCCCTCTGACCAGCTGGTTCTGCCAAGTGCTTGGGCCTCAGGGCCCCAAACGGGGGTAGGGCTGCCTGGGGGGCCTTGAGGGGGCACAGTGCTCGCAGGTCCCTGGCCCGCCAGGGTCCCAGTCGCCAGCCACACCCACCCAACCCAACCCAACCCAGCTCAGCTCACCCAGCTCAACCCAACCACGCTCAGCCCGTCCCGACAGGCAGCCCCAGAAGCCTCGGCCTCTCAGGCCCCAGAGCCAATCCAGCCTATCATCCGGGTTCTTTCCTGAACACCGTGGCTCTGGGAGTGTTCTGCCCGCACCACCCCATTATCCACCAACACTGACAGCATAAGAGTTATGCACCCGCAGGCTGCAGAGCTTCATGTACCCCAAGATGTGCAGGGGCACTAGGAGCTCTGCCATCATTTATCAGTTACCCAGCCCAGCCCAGCCGCGGGCAGCCCACTCAGCTCAGCCCCTTTCACCTCAACTAAACCCAGCTCAGCCCAGTCCACATCAGCTCAATTCAAATCGCTCAGCCCAGCAAGCCCAGCTCGGCCCAGCCGAGTTCAGTTCAACCCAACCCAGCTCAGCTCAGTACAGCTCAGCTCACCCAGCTCAACCCGACCCAGCTCAACCCAACCCAGCTCAGCCCAGCTCACCCAGCTTAGCCCAGCCCAGCTCACCCAGCTCAACCCAACCCAGCTCAACCCAACCCAGCTCAGCCCAACCCAGCTCAGCCCAACCCAGCTCAGCCCAGCCCAGCCCAGATCACCCAGCCCAGCTTACTCAGCTCAGCCCAGCTCAGCTCACCCAGCTCAGCCCAACCCAGCTCAGCCCAGTTTAGCTCACCCAGCTCAACCCAACCCAACCCAGCTCAGCTCACCAGCTCAACCCAACCAAGCTCAGCCCAGTTCAGCTTACCCAGCTCAACCTAGCTCAGCTCAACCCAACCCAGCTCAGCCCAGCTCAGCCCAATCCAGCTCAGGTCAACCCAACCCAGCTCAGCCCAGCTCAGCCCAGCTCAGCCCAGGTCAACCCACCCAGCTCAGCTGATCCAGCTCAACCCAACCCACCTCAGCTCACCCAGCTCAACCCAGCCAAGCTCAGCCCAGTTCAGCTTACCCAGCTCAACCTAGCTCAGCTCAACCCAACCTGGCTCAGTCCAACTCAGCCCAGGTCAACCCACCCAGCTCAGCTCAACCCAGCTCAGCTCAACCCAGCTCAACCCAACCCAGCTCAGCCCAGCCCAGCTCAGCCCAGCTCAGCCCAGCTCACCCAGCTCAGCCCAGCTCAGCTCACCCAGCTTAGCCCAACCCAGCTCGCCCAGCTTACCCAGCTCAACCCAACCCAGCTCAGCCCAGTTCAGCTTACCCAGCTCAACCTAGCTCAGCTCAACCCAACCCAGCTCAGCCCAGCTCAGCCAGCTCAGCCCAGCCCAGCTCAGCCCAGGTCAACCCAACCCAGCTCAGCTCAACCCAGCTCAGCTCAACTCAGCCCAACTCAACCCAGCTCAACCCAACCCAGCTCAGCCCAGTTTAGCTCACCCAGCTCAACCCAACCCAACCCAGTTCAGCCCAGTTTAGCTCACCCAGCTCAACCCAACCCAACCCAGCTCAGCTCAGCCAGCTCAACCCAACCCAACCCAGCTCAGCTCAGCCAGCTCAACCCAACCCAGCTCAGCTCACCCAGCTCAACCCAACCCAGCTCAGCTCATCCAGCTCAACCCAACCAAGCTCAGCCCAGCTCAGCTCACCCAGCTTAGCCCAACCCAGCTTGCCCAGCTCAACCCAACCCAGCTCAGCCCACCCAGCTCAACCCAACCCAGCTCAGCCCAGTTCAGCTTACCCAGCTCAACCTAGCTCAGCTCAACCCAACCCAGCTCAGCCCAGCTCAGCCAGCTCAGCCCAGCCCAGCTCAGCCCAGGTCAACCCAACCCAGCTCAGCTCAACCCAGCTCAGCTCAACTCAGCCCAACTCAACCCAGCTCAACCCAACCCAGCTCAGCCCAGTTTAGCTCACCCAGCTCAACCCAACCCAACCCAGTTCAGCCCAGTTTAGCTCACCCAGCTCAACCCAACCCAACCCAGCTCAGCTCAGCCAGCTCAACCCAACCCAACCCAGCTCAGCTCAGCCAGCTCAACCCAACCCAGCTCAGCTCACCCAGCTCAACCCAACCCAGCTCAGCTCACCCAGCTCAACCCAACCCAGCTCAGCTCATCCAGCTCAACCCAACCAAGCTCAGCCCAGCTCAGCTCACCCAGCTTAGCCCAACCCAGCTTGCCCAGCTCACCCAGCTCAACCCAACCCAGCTCAGCCCACCCAGCTCAACCCAACCCAGCTCAGCCCAGTTCAGCTTACCCAGCTCAACCTAGCTCAGCTCAACCCAACCCAGCTCAGCCCAGCTCAGCCCAGCCCAGGTCAACCCAACCCAGGTCAACCCAACCCAGCTCAGCTCACCCAGTTCAACCCAACCCAGCTCAGCCCAGCTCAGCCTAGCCCAGCTCAGGTCAACCCAACCCAGCTCAGCCCAGCTCAGCCTATCCCAGCTCAGGTCAACCCAACCCAGCTCAGCCCAGCTCAGCCAGCCCAGCTCAGCCAGCTCAGCTCAGCCCAGCTTAGCCCAGCTCAGCCCAGGTCAACTAACCCAGCTCAGCTGACCCAGCTCAACCCAACCCAGCTCAGCGCACCCAGCTCAACCCAACCAAGCTCAGCCCAGTTCAGCTTACCCAGCCCAGCCCAGCCCAGGTCAACCCAACCCAGCTCAGCTCAACCCAGCTCAGCTCACCCAGCTCAACCCAACCCAGCTCAGCCCAGCCCAGCTGAGGTCAACCTAACCCAGCTCAGCCCAGCTCAGCCAGCTCAGCTCAGCCCAGCTCAGCCCAGGTCAACCCACCCAGCTCAGCTCTCCCAGCTCAACCCAACCCAGCTCAGCTCACCCAGCTCAACCCAACCCAGCTCAGCCCAGTTCAGCTTACCCAGCTCAACCTAGCTCAGTTCAACCCAATCCGGCTCAGTCCAACTCAGCCCAGGTCAACCCACCCAGCTCAGCTCACCCCAGCTCAACCCAACCCAGCTCAACCCAACCCAGCTCAACCCAACCCAGCTCAACCCAACCCAGCTCAGCCCAGCTCAGCCAAGCCCAGCCCAGCCCAGCTCACCCAGCTCAGCTCACCCAGATCAGCCCAACCCAGCCCACCCAGCTCAACACAACCCAGCTCAGCCCAGTTCAGCTCACCCAGCTTAACCTAGCTCAGCTCAACCCAATCCAGCTCAGCCCAGCTCAGCCCAGCTCAGCCCAGCCCAGCCCATCTCAGCCCAGGTCAACCCAACCCAGCTCAGCTCAACCCAGCTCAGCCCAGCTCAGCTCAGCCCAGATCAGCCCAGCCCAGCTCAGCTCAACCCAACCCAGCTCAGCTGAGGTCAACCCATCCCAACCTAGTTCAGCTCACCTAGCTCCACCCAACCTAGCTCAGCCCAGCTCAGCTCACCCAGCTCGGCTCACCCAGCTCAGCCCAGGTCAATCCAGCCCACCTCAGCCCAGCTCAGCCCAATTCAGCCCAGCTGAGCCAGGTGAGTTTAGTTCAAACCAGCTCAATTCAGCCTCAGCCCAGACCAGTTCAGTTCAGTTTGATGCAACCCGGCCCATTCCGCAGTCCTGCTCAGCCCAGTCAACTCAGCTCAGTTCATCCTGCCCCGTCTCCCAGTGTACCCCATGGCCCACCCAGTCACCCTGTATCCCAGTGCACCGTGCTGAGGTCAGGAGCCTCCTGTGCCTTGGGGTCCTGTGTCCGCCTGGCATCCCTCCCCATGTCTGCTCCCGCCCTGTTCTTCCTGGGGTGCAGACTGGCCTGGCCGAGGAGAGGCTGGGGTGGGAACCCCCAAGATCCACCCGTCTGGCTGCTGACAAGTCTGCTGGGCTGAGAGGCCAGGCCTCCCGGGCCAGTGTCCCACGCCGCAGGCGGCTTGCTCGCCTGTCCAGAGAGGAGTGAGCTGGGCCGGGGGCTGGCGAGGCTCTGGGACGGTCGCAGGCGAGGCTGGGCCTGCTGGGGCTCCCGGGAGAGCCGCGGCTGTCTGGCCCCCTCGGGGTCGCTCGCCCACTTCCTGCCCCGCCGGCGTGGCCGCCTCGCCACGTCATGTCTGGTCTGTGGTCTGGCTGTGGTGGGGCCAGGTGTGTGTGGCCGGGGCCAGGAGGCCGGGAGTCTGCCCGGGAGGCCACGAGGCTGCATGTGGCATGGGCTGTGCTGACGGGCAGCGGGGCAGCCTCGTGGGCACTGCAGCCACAGGACCCTGGGTCAGGAGTGGGGGCAGGGTCCCGAGCGGGCTTACCTGTGCCGTCTAATGGGCCAGGGTGGCTCCGTGGGGTCGGCCGCCTAGGCCTGGGGCCTGCTGGCTGGGCAGCCGGCAGCCTCTGTGGCGTCACTGGGCCTGCCTGGGCTCTGCAGACATGCTGAGACGCTGCCGGGCACCAGGGCCAGACCCCTCCTGGGTCTGCGCTGTGCCCACCCACGCATTCACTTCTTTGGCACAGAAGCTCTGGTGCCAGCAGGTCCGGAGGCCATTGGCAGAGCTGCACATGCAGGCGCGGAGACCCTGTGCTGGGCGCATGGCCGGCCAGTCCTCCCCAGGCGCTCAGCTGGGCCGGCCTGGGGCGGGGAGGAGGTGGCCAGAGGAGGGCACCTGGGCAGTGCCCACTGGGCAGACACCCCCAGGTGGTGTCAGCCCCTGGGGCTAGACGGGCGGTGCCCGCAGCACCCCCTAGGCAGCTGTCCCAGGGCCGCCTGTGACTGTGGCCTCTGCCACCCTCTAGGTGGGGCCTCACGTCTCCCTCCACCGGGGATACCCCTGTGCGAGACAGTGCGGGCTTGGGCTGTGAGCCCAGCAGGCCGGCGAGGGTGTCCAGGCAGCCTGGGAGGGCCCGCTGGTCATGGAAGACCTTGTGGGAGGCTTGGGGCCGCTTCCCCGGGACTGTGTGTCTGGGTGTGAGTGAGTGTGGGTCTGAGTGCAAGTCCTACTGTGAGTCTGAGTGCCCGAGTGTGAGTCCGAGCGTGAGTCCACGCAGCCTGCCCTGGCACGCCCTCCCCGTGCCACCTGGCACCTGTCTCCAGATGGGCTGCAGTCCCCGGCGGCGGCCGGCAGTTCTGGGTATTGGTTCTGGGCGGGCTCCGGCCCCAGCCGGCCTCAGCGGCGACCTCAGGCGCTGGTCCCCCCCTTAGCCCGGGTTTCCTCATGACTGAGACCCTCTCGCTGCCGTCACCGGCCCCTTTTTATTGGCTCTGAGCGCTCCTTGTCCCTCGGGTGCCCACAGCCTTGGGGTGTCTCCCTCGCTTGTGCCAGCTTCACAGAGGCTCTTGGGGGTGGGTCTGTCCAGCAGAGTCCATCGTTCCTCCACAGTGGGCCACAGCCCAGTGTCCATCCCCATGGTGGCCTCTGTTGCTGGCCCCGAGCTTCCTTCTGAGGTGCTGGCCTCGCTGCCCATGCATGGGCTGGCTGCTGGGCGTGGTGACCGAGTCCAAAGACTGACGCTGCCCTCGGAACTCTGCAGCCTGTCCGTGGACCTGACCACAGGAGCAGCCGGAGGTGTTGCTGCTACTACACGTGGGCAGGGGTGTCCATCTGGGCTGGGGACCTGACGCGGGCTGAGCGGGGCTCCCGGGCCCCAGGGTCATAGGGATGCCTGAGGCCAGCTACCTGGGTCCACCAAGTTGCCCCCCACCAGTCCAGAGCCTCTGCCTCCCACCCCCACGGCCCCCCCAGAGGATAGCCGGGGAGGGCTGGGCACCTGGGGCAGACCCCTGGGGTGTGTTCTGCTGTGGGAACCCCTCCAGCTGCCCAGGGGCCTGCCGGTCAGCCTGGGCAGGGGAGGAGGCAGGGGCAGGGCGGTCAGCCTGGGAAGCGGGGCAGGGATTCTGGGCTGGAAGGTGACCCGAGTGGAGGTTCTGAGCCCACAGCGAGGGGCCTGGGGCGCTCGCCCCGGGGCTCAGCGAGACGGGTCCTCCCCAGGGGCCAGGAAGCCAGGTGGGCGGCACCCTCGCCTGCTCCGGTGGTGCGGTGGGGTGGGGGCTGCAGTGGCGTCTTCCAGGCCGCCGGACCACCTCAGGCGCAGGGACAGAGCAGGCAGCGGGGGTGTTGCGGGGTGCGGGTGGCCACGGGCCGCACGTTGGTGTAGTCGTGGGGGCCGGGAGGCCCGTCCTGCTGCTCGGCCGCCAAGACCCAGCTTACCTGCGGGAGCGCGCGTGAGACTCGGCCGCCTGCGCCCGCCCGCCCCGCCGCCCGGGCCGGGGCCCACCTTGAGCACCGTGACGGCCGCGCCGTAGGCCACGCTGAGCAGGAAGAGCACCGCGAATACCCGGAGGCCGGCCCAGGCGCCGTCCAGCTCCTGGCCCTCAGGCTCCTGCACGCACAGCTCGGCGAGGTCCAGCTCTGCGGCGGAGACGGGGTCAGCTCCGCTCGGCCAGCCTCAGGCTCTGCCCGCAGACCGGGGCCCTGCCTGCCTGCTCCCTCCTGGCCCACCGGCCCCAGGCGGACTCCTGCCACACCCCCGCTCAGCCCCACAGGCCCCGGCGCTGGCCACTGGCCTGGTGGCACCGCCACGGCCAGTGGGAGGGTCGTGGCTCCTCAGTTGGCCATCGCTGGTGGCTGAGGGGCAGCCCAGCCCTGGGCCTGCTTGGCTCTGTGGATCCCCGCCAGGTCCTGGCCCACCTGGGCCGCCTCCCCAGGGGCCCCTGGCTCTAGCAGGGGCCATCAGCGTGGCCCTCGGCCATGGGGCTGGTGTGGGGCTGCATGTGGCCTGGCGGTCACCCTGCCTTCCCCGCGTGTCTGTGTGTCCACGTGTCCATGTGTGTCTGTGTGTGCCCATGTGTGTCTACGCGTCCATGTATGTCTCTGTGTGCCCGTGTGTCCATGTGTGTCCATGTGTGCCCAAGTGTCCATACGTATCTGTGGGTGCCCATGTGGCCACATGTGTCCATGTGTGTCCATATGTGTCCGCATGTCCATGTGTGTCTGTGTGTGCCCATGTGCCCATGTGTGTCCGTGTGTCCATGTGTGTCTGTGTGTGCCCGTATGTCCTTGTGTGTCCACGTGTGTCCATGTGTCTCTGTGTGTGTGTCTGTCCATGTGTCTCGGTATGCCCACGTGTCCATGTGTTTCCACGTGTGCACGTGTCAGCATGTGTATCCATGTGTCTGTGTGTCTGTCCCTGCTGCACTGCTGGGGTTGGGGCTGGGCTGGTGTGGGGTCCAGTGGGCGGCTGGGCTCCGGCTGGGCTCCGTCTGGGCTCCGGCTGGGGTGGCCGGTGTGTCTGGGCTGCTGGCCAAGGTGCGGCCAGGGCTCAGGGGAGCACTAGGAGGGCTGCGGCCACCTGTGGTGCCAGGGGTGCTGGGTGGCTGTGGGGCCGGGTGTGTGGGGGTGCTGGGTGGCCGTGGGGCCGGGCGTGTGTGGGGCTGGCCGGTGTGAGTGGGTGGGCGTGGGCACAGCAGGCAGCGGGATGGATCCTGGGATGGATGCGGGGTGGGAGGCAGAAGGCAGAGGGGGCTCTGATGGGGGCTCCGCCTGGCCCCAGGCACCGGGGGTGCTGTGGGACCAGGGGTGGGGCACCAGGTCTGCGTGGGGGTGTCTGACCTGCCTTTGGGGCTTGACTGTGACCAGGGGTCAGCAGGGCGCAGGGGGCGGAGGCCAGGCCTCTGGGGCCTCCGTAGGGTCTCCGGGGTCCCTGCCCCGACCTCCCTCTGCTCTCAGGGCAGCAGGCCTCACAGGGGTGGGGCGGGGGCGAGTCTTGGCCCACCCTGCCCCTCTCCTGGGCCCCTGCGCAGCCCCCCCAAGAAGGGCCTGGAGCATCATGCGGCAGACTGTTTATTGGGGCGTTGCGCAGCAGGACGCGGTCCTGGTGGCGTCATTTACCGGGGGGCTTGGACAGCGATTTCTCCAGGATCCTGGTCGTGGGCAGGGCCTCGTGCACCACGCGGCAGGTGAACCTGTCCTCCTTCTCCCAGGCGGCCCGGCTGGCCTCCAGGCGGCTGAAGACGAAGAAGGCGGGGTCGGGGCCGCCGGTCCTGCGGGGCCCCGTGGTGGCCTGCTCCTCCCTCGGGACGGGGCTGTCGTTCTGCAGCCACTGCACGGAGATGTCCGCGGGGAAGAAGTTCTGGACCAGGCAGGTGAGGGTCACCTTGTCCCCGGTGCCCTGGGTCTCGTCTGGCGGCTGGAGCACGTAGACCTCCGGTTTGGAGCGCTTGCCTGGGAGGAGGGGGGGTCAGCGTGCTGGTCACAGCCGGGGGTCTGGCCCCGCCTCGCCTCCCACCTCCCTGCCCGCCCCGCACCCGGCGCCCGTGCGCCCGCCCTGCGCCCACCTGGGGGCCTGGTGATGGAGCGCACGATCTCCCTGGGCAGGTCTGGGTGGCCCACTGTGCAGCGGTAGGTCTCTTCCTCTGTCCAGTCATTGATGTCCACCTCCAGGGTGGACGTGACGCTGAACGTCCCGTTGAAGTGTTTCTTGGTGACCGGCGGGTCTTGGCGCACGGGGGTTTTGCTCTCCCGGGACCAGGTCAGGGTCATGCCGTCGACCCCGGCCAGGTCCACCACCAGGCAGGTGATCTTGGGTGACTTGTGGACATACAGGTCCAGGGGGCTGGGTGGGATCACGTAGGCGCTCACGCCGCGGGGCTCGGACTCTGTGAGCGAGCAGAGGGGGCGTGAGGCTGGGCCCTGGCCTGCCCTGTGTGGGCCCCGGGGGTGTGGGGGCGCTGGTGGGGGCCGCGCTGGTGGGGACGCTGGGGAGCGCTGGGCGCACCTGTGCACTTGCGGGCTTCGTCCTTAAAGGTGTAGCCTTGGTAGGAGACCTGGCAGGTGTAGGTGCTCTGGGCTGCCCAGAGGCCCTGCGTGGTGTTGAGCTCGCTGTAGGTGGACGCCAGCTCGCCCTCCTGCTGCGCGGGGGCCGTGTAGGTGTTCAAGTCTTCGTGCTCATGCCCGTCCACCAGCCAGGTGACCCTGATGTGTGTGCCGGGGTAGCCGGAGACGAAGCACCGGAGCTGGATGGGGGTGCTGGTGTCGCCGCTGGGGTCGCAGGAGGAGTGGAAGAGCCTCACGCTGGGGCTGGTGAAGTTCCTGGAGCAGGCTGGGGCGCAGGAGGGCCGGGTGAGCCCCAGCCCGCCCCCCGCCCTCCCCCCCGCCCTCCCGCGGGCTCACCTGAGAAGGTCTCCACGCGTGTGGTGTCTTTGTAGGACACAGTGCAGGTGACCGGCTGCGTGGCCCACTCGCCGGACACGGTCACCTGGCTGGCGGTGGTGTAGAGGCCGGAGGCCTTCTGCTGGATGGCAGGAAAGGTCGTGGAGGCGTTCCTGGCCAGCGACCCGGTGTCCCAGGTGATGTTCACCAGATCCGGAAAGTAGTCGGTGACCAGGCAGGCCAGCACCACGGAGGAGTCGGGGGCGCTGTCCCGGCAGCAGGGCCCCAGGGGGAAGACCGATGGACCCTGCGGGGAAGCTGAGGGGCGGCGGGGTCAGTGCTGGCCTTGGGGCCAGGCTGCCGGCTCAGCCCAGGTCGAGGGTCCGCCCCTTGCCCTGGGGTCTGGAGGGCTGTGGGGGGCTCACGGTGGTGCACAGGGGTGCCGGACCCCTCCTGCAGTTCCTGCACCTCCCCTAGTGCCCCGATCCCCAGAGGGGCCCTCAGCTGCCCTGTACCGCTGCCAGCACCAGCCACGGGCCCCCAGGAATGGCCACGCTGTCTCTTTGGTCACCCACAGACCTACTGGGGCTGGTGTCCTGAGCGCGCCGCGCCGCGAGTCCCGGGCTTTCAGCTGTCCGTCTGCCCCCCACTGGGCCCCGTTCCCTGTGGCCGGGGAGCCTCCCTAGCCCCCAAGGGCTTCTCAGGGGTGGCCCAGCACTCAGCCCCCTTCACCATGTGTCCCCCTGGAGGCCCCCTCCCCCATGGCCCAGGGGTCCGCCTGCAGGCCCGGACGACCCAGCGGGGCCCTCTTCTCGCCCTCCCGACAGCCAAGTCTTGCAGGCGTCCCTGGCCGCCCGCCCTGGCCTCTTCCAAGCTCAGCTCTGTCCACTCTCCCCAGCTGCCCATCCGCCCAGCTCTACACCAGATGGCCCGTCAGGAGTGCCAGGCCCAGAGTTCCACAGTCCAGTCCAGACAAGCACTGACCAGCCGCTCCATCCAACCCAGGCCACTTAGCTCCAGACAGTGACCCTTGGGGAGTTCCAGAGTCCAAGAGCAGAAACCAGCCCAGCCCAGCCCAGCCCAGCCCAGCCCAGCCCTGTTCAGCCCAGATGGACCCAGCTCAGCCCTGTTCAGCTAGCTTAGCCCAGCTCAGCCCAGTCCAGCTCAGCTCAGCCCAGTTGGACTCAGCTCAGCCCAGCTCAACCCAGTGAGAATGCTTGTCCGCCAGCCCAGCCCAGCCCAATTCAGCCCAGTTCAGTGTCCAGCCCAGCCCAGTTCAGCCCAGTTAGACCCAGCCAGTCCAGCCAGCCCAGCCCAGCCCAGCCCAGCCGGACCCAGGCCAGCCCAATTAGACCCAGCCCAGCCCAGCCCGACACAACTGAGCCCAGACTAGCCCAGCTGGACCAGTTTAGCCCAGTTTAGCCCAGCCCAGCTCAGCTGGACCCAGCCCAGCTCAGTCCAGCCCAGGTAGACACAGCCCAGCTCAGCCCAGCTCAGCTGGACCCAGCCCAACCCAGTGCTACCCAGCCCAGTCCAGCCTAGCCCAGCCCAGCTGGACCCAGTTAGGCTCAGCCCAGCCCAGCTGGACCCAGCCCAGCCCAGCCCAGCTGGACCCAGCCCAGCCCAGCCCAGCCCAGCCCAGCCCAGCCCAGCTGGACCCAGCCCAGCCCAGCCCAGCCCAGCCCAGCTGGACCCAGCCCAGTCCAGCCCAATTCAGCCCAGTTCAGCGTCCAGCCTAGGTAGACACAGCCCAGCCCAGCCCAGCTCAGCTGGACCCAGCCCAACCCAGTGCTACCCAGCCCAGTCCAGCTTAGCCCAGCCCAGCCCAGCTGGACCTAGGGCAGCCCAGCCCAGCCCAGCTGATCTGGACCCAGTCCAGCCCAGTCCTACCCAGTCTAGCCCAGCCTAGCTCAGCTGGACCCAGTTCAGCCCACTCAGCCCAGCCCAACTCAGCTGGACCCAGCCAGCCCAGCCCAGCCCAGCCCAGCCCAGCTGGACCCAGCCCAGCCCAGCCCAGCCCAGCCCAGCTGGACCCACCCCAGCCCAGCTGGACCCAGCCCAGCCCAGCCCAGCCCAGCCCAGCCCAGCCCAGCCCAGCTCAGCCCAGCCCAGCCCAGCTGGACCCAACCCAGCCCAGCTGGACCCAGCCCAGCCCAGCCCAGCCCAGCTCAGCCCAGCTCAGCCCAGCCCAGCCCAGCTGGACCCAGCCCAGCCCAGCTGGACCCAGCCCAGCTGGACCCAGCCCAGCCCAGCCCAGCTCAGCCCAGGCCAGCTCAGCCCAGCCCAGCCCAGCCGGACCCAGCCCAGCCCAGCTCAGCCCAGGCCAGCTCAGCCCAGCCCAGCCCAGCTGGACCCAGCCCAGGCCAGCTCAGCCCAGGCCAGCTCAGCCCAGCCCAGCTGGACCCAGCCCAGCCCAGCTCAGCCCAGCCCAGCTCAGCACAGGCCAGCTCAGCCCAGCCCAGCCCAGGCCAGCTCAGCCCAGCCCAGCTGGACCCAACCCAGCCCAGCTGGACCCAGCCCAGCCCAGGCCAGCCCAGCTGGACCCAGCCCAGCTGGACCCAGCCCAGCCCAGCCCAGCTGGACCCAGCCCAGGCCAGCTCAGCCCAGGCCAGCTCAGCCCAGCCCAGCTGGACCCAGCCCAGCCCAGCTCAGCCCAGCCCAGCTCAGCCCAGCCCAGCCCAGCCCAGCCCAGCTCAGCACAGGCCAGCTCAGCCCAGCCCAGCCCAGGCCAGCTCAGGCCAACCCAGCCCAGCTGGACCCAGCCCAGCCCAGGCCAGCCCAGCCCAGCCCAGCTGGACCCACCCTAGCCCAGCTGGACCCAGCCCAGCCCAGCCCAGCCCAGCCCAGGCCAGCTCAGGCCAGCTCAGCCCAGCCCAGCTGGACCCAGCCCAGCCCAGGCCAGCCCAGGCCAGCCCAGGCCAGCTCAGCCCAGCCCAGGCCAGCTCAGCCCAGCCGGACCTAGCCTAGCCCAGTTCTACCCAGTCTGGTCCAGCCCAGCCCAGTCCAGCCTAGTTTGGCTGCTTGGGCAGCAGGAACCCCCTGAAGCCCAGCCCCGGCTGCCAGGTGCGGAGCCGCCCCCAGCTACGCTCGGCTCATGGAGGACCCAAGCCCACTGGCCCCACTCACCTTGCGTCCACCCTGGCGGCCGCTCAGGCCCGGACAGCCAGGCAGCACCCGCCGGTGTGCCCAGCCCGCCTCCCCCCTTGCTCACACCCAGTTAGGCCGGTGTGCGCCCAGCCCGCCTGCCCGCGTCCAGCGCAGAGCCAGCTGCCCGCGTCCTCCCGGCCAGCCCCGCACGGCCCGCTGTCCCCCGCAGCTCGCCTCCCGGCTCCGGCCCCCCCGTCCGTCTGAGCCACAGCCCCTCGCCTTGTCCAGGCCGGGCGGTGTGCCCACGAGGGCGGGGGCAGCTGGCACAGAGGGACCTGGTTTGGCCCACTCCAGCGGGCAGCCCAGCCCCTGCCCGGCCGTGGCCAGGCGCCGCGGGGCCCACCCGCCGCCGGGGTACCTGGGGGGCCGGGGCCTCCGTCCGGCGCGCTGCGTCCGCCTGCCCGGTGGGCTCCCAGGTGGCCAATCGCCCGCCAGCCTTGGCGTTATTTTTACGTCGGCCGGGGGCCTGGGGCGGGGGCCGCGGCTAAAAGCGGGGCGGGAAGCCCCGGCCTCGCAGGCCTGGAAGTCCCCGACTCTCTCTTCTCGGGAAGTCGCCGGCGCAGCGGGTCCCGAGGCCTCTCCTCTGCCCCGCCCGGCCCGGCCCCCCAGGCGCCCGGCGCTGCGGCCACGTGCGGGAGGCGGCCTGCTCCCTGCTCGAGGCCTGCTGCCCGGCCTCCTCCCCCGGCGGCCGGTGTCCAGAGGCGGCGGCGCCCGAGGCCCGGAGCTGCAGGGGGCCTGGTGGTCTCCGCGGCGAGTCCAAGGCGCGGGCCTGGCCCTCCTGGGCACCCGCGGGCCCTGCTCGCCCACTCCCGGGCCTGGTCCCAGCCCCGAGGCCGCGCGTGCGGGGGCCCTGGGCCAGCATGGGCCTCTGAGGGCCAGCGGGGTCTTGGAGACGGGTCAGCCCGGCCGGAGCCAGCCCCACGCGGGGGCCGGGGCTGGGCCATCGGGCCTGGGGTCCCTGAGGCCCGCGGGCGCTGGCTGGAAGGAGGGGCTGGCCCGGGGAGCCACAGCAGAGGCTGGGGCAGCCGGGACCCGGAGGCCCACCGTCCCCGAGACCCACGGCCCCGACGGCCCGGTCTGTCCGGCTGCCCTGCCCGGGAGGCGGAAGGGACGGCGCTCCCGGGGGTGCCTGGATCTGGGGCGCAGGCCTGAGGCAGAGCCGTCCACGGCCTCCCGCGTGGGGGCGCCCCCGCTGTTCTCCCTGACCCGCGGGCCTCGGACCCCGTGGGACGCCCTGCCCGGGCCGGGCTGGGCTGCCGTGGGGGGACAGTGGGGGCTGCTGCCCTGGGTCTGCAGCCCCTGCCCGGCGGCCCGCCTGCTCCCTCCGGAGGCCCGGCTGCCCCCAGGTGCTGCCCACGCCAGTCAGGGTGCCCAGCCCGGGGCCTCCCGCGGCCTTCCCGCTGGCCCCCCCCCCCCCCCCCCCAGGGCCGGCGGCCCAGCCAGGTCGCGGGCGCAGGCATGTCCGTCCGGAGCCCAAGCCCGGGACCGCGGCCCGGGGCTGCCTCTGCTGCGGGGGGTGGTCGTCCGACCACGGGGGCGTCGCCGTCCCCACGCCGGCCGGACCCCACGGCTGTGCTGACCCGGCGGCCGTGGGGGGGAGGGGGCTGCGTCTCGGGGCGCCCGGGCCGCAGCGTCCTCTGCGCCCGGGGCCTCCCGCGCTCGGCCGGCGGCCACGCCCGCCCCGCGCGGCCCGGGCGCGATCGGGGGCGCCCCCCCACGCGGGGACACGCTCGCGGCAGCCCGGGGCGCCCCGGCCTCGGCAGGGCCCGGGCGGCGGAGGGAGGCGCCCCGCCCCGCGCCCCGCGGCTGGACGCCCCGGGGGGGCCCGCGGGCTGAGGCGGGACGCGCGTGGCCACTCCGGCTCCGCGGCCCCAGCCCGGCCAGAGGCGCGGACGCCCGCCCGGCCCCACGCGCGCCCGCTGCCCCCGGTGGACACGGCGCCCAGCCTGGTCTGCGGCCCGACGGCAGCGGCCGAGGGCGGGACCCCGCCGGCCCCGCCCCGCCTCTTCCCTCCCAGCCCCGCCCCGCCCCCGCCCCGCCCCGCCCCGCCCCGCCTCTTCCCTCCCAGCCCCGCCCGCCCCCGCCCCGCCCCCGCCCCGCCCCTCCCCGCCTCTTCCCTCCCCACCCCACCTCATCCCTCCCCCCCGCCCAGCTCCGCCCCGCCTCATCCCGCCCCGCCCCCTGCCCCCCCGCCCCCCGCCCCCCTTCCCTCCCCACCCCGCCTCATCCCGCCCCGCCCCGCTCCGCCCCTCCCCACCCAACCCCGCCTCCTCCCTCCCGCCCCGCCCCACCTCATCCCTCCTGCCCCGCCCCGCCCCGCCTCATCCCGCCCAGCCCCGCCCAGCCCCTCCCCGCCCCACCCCGCCTCTTCCCTCCCATCCCTCCCCACCCCACCCCGCCTCCTCCCTCCCGCCCCGCCCCACCCCGCCCCACCCTGCCCTGCCCAGCCCCGCCTCATCCCTCCCCGCCCCAACCCACCTGACCCCGCCTCATCCCACCCCTCCCCACCTCACCCCGCCCCGCCCCTCCCCACCCACCCCAGCTCATCCCACCCCTCCCTGCCCTTCCCTGTCCCTCCCCACCCCACCCTTCCCCATCCTCCCCTCCCCTCCATGCCCCTACCTGGCCCACCCCACCACTCCCCTCCCCACCTCTTCCCACCCTGCCCCACCCCTCCCTGCCCTGCCCAGCCCCACCCCAGGATGCTGGGGCATGGATGCTGGGGTGCATGGATGCCAGGTGCTGAGGTGTTGGGGTGCATGGATACTGGGGTGCTGAGTAGTCAGGATGCTGGGTGCCCAGCTGCTGGGGGCTGAGGTGCTGGGTGTGGGTGTCCATCCTGGGCCAGGGCCTGGTGCTTGGCAGAGCCAAGGGACCAGAGTTTGGAGCTGGTGGCCGGTGGGCACGGTGGGCACGGTGGGCTGGCCGGGGCTGACAGCTGGCCCAGGGGTGACGTGAGAGGCGGGCTGGGCGGGAGGCTGCGGGGCCCTTCCAGCTTTTCAGTTGGAAGTTCAGAGGCGGACACCGAAAGTGTGGGGCAGGGAGGTGATTGCCTGTGCACCCCACCCCGCAGGGTGATGCCTGCCGTCCTAGGGCCGTGCCTACCTCGCCTGCCCCTCAGTGACCGCCCCACAGGGAGCTGACCATGCTGCCAGCCACCGGCACCACAGTCACGTGGGCAGCTACCCGGGGGCCTCATGGACCCCCTCTAGGGTGATGTGCGGGCAGTTGCCGCGGCTGGGCCTCTACCCAGGCCGTCCCTCCCACGGGCATCACTCCCCAGGGCGTCCCCTCCTGGACCGTCCTGGAAACTTGGCCCTCGAGAGGGATTCGCATCAGGGGTGGCAGCCTCTGATTCTCCAAGCTCTGACCCTCCAACCCTCCCGGGCTGCCCGCCCCTCCCCGAGCCGCGTCTCCACTGTGGGAGCACAGCTGCCTCCTGCGCACTGCCCACTGTCCTGCCCTGTCGCTGTGCCCTGCTGATGGGCAGCTTCTCTGTCTTTGCCTCCCCACCTCGGCCCTGGCCTGCACCCCACGCACCCATGCCTGTACCCAGTTCCCCATCTGGGTCTGAACTGTGTCCCCCCAATTCACATCTTGAGGTCCTGACCCAGGACCTCAGAATGAGACTGGGCTTGGAGGAGCCACTTGAGAGCTCGCGAAAATAGGCCAGTGGACATCCTTGCCCAACAGGGCCGGTCTCTGTGGGGAGGACACAGGTGAGCTGGGGACAACGCGGGGGACATGTCTATATGCCGGGAGCGAGGCCTCGGCGGGACCTGGGCCTGGGTGGTGCTGCCTGGTGTGCCCACCTCCAGGACTAGGGACAGTCTGTGGCTGTGATGTGGCCCCACATAGCCCTGAGCCCCCTGTGGCCCCCGGCCCCCCAAGTCCTCCATGGCCCCCCAAGATCCCCCTGGTCCCCCTGAACCTCCCACCGCCCCTGCTTGGCTCCCAGCTGGCCCACGGGCTGGGGGCTCCCCCAGGAGGGGCACTGGCAAGGGGCCGCACTGTGGCCTGGCCCGACTGGAATTCAGGAGACGTGGACTCGGGGTGGCCCAGGAGGGCCCAACTGTTTTATTGACGTTTAGAAACGACAGCAGAGAGAACCGCAGGACGCGGCCTGGAAGGGAGGAAAGCTGCCCAAGCGGCTGGCGTTTGTGGGCTCCCTGCCCATCCCAGTCGGGGCCCCCCCTCGGGGGTGCTGGCTGCTCTGGCTGCAGAGATGGCCGGTGTTCCTGGGAGGCCACGGGCTGGGCCTGCCTGGGGGTCCTGGTCTCTCACGGAGCCCCCGCTCAGCTGAGTCCCTGGGGTGGCTGGGCTGGCGGGGAGGGCCGGCCGTGCCTGTGGCCTGTGCACCAGGGCCCCTCCAGAGGCCTGCTGGCTGGCCTTGCCCCCTCCTCGGGTTGCACCCCCTCGGCTCCCGGCGGCCCCAGCCCCAGCCTGCTCCTGGCAGCCTCTGGGAGAGGCCCTCCCAGCGGATGGCGGCCAGGGCTCTCCCTGTTTGGCAGCAGACATTGCCCTGAGGATGGGACGAGGCCCGTGGAGGCGCTGGGCTCTGCAGGGGACCTTGTGGGGCCGACGGACTGACCGGGCAGTGCCACCGAGGGACCTGTGTGCCTGGCGTCCAGCAGCCTGGCCATGGCCGGTGGCCGGACCGAGGCCAGAGGGCGTCTCTCAGCTCAGCGCGGGGCCACAGTCGCCGTCCTCTCGGCTCTCGGGGGTGCAGACAGCAGGATGCAGCTCGTGGGGGGGTGACGCCTGGCGGCCGTGGTCAGAGCGGAGCGGCCTAGGCCCCCTGCCCGATCATGTTCCTGTAGTCGGGGACGATGGTCTGCTTGAGCTCCACCACCGATGAGAAGATCCACTTCACCTGTGGGGGGTCAGACACCAGTCCAGCAAGCACCCCGGCGATGGGGGCGGGGACAGCAGAGACAGGGACATGGAGGGGCAGTGGGGGACAGTGGACAGAAGGACACTGGGGACAGGAGGGGACAGTGAGGATGGGGGACTCTGCGGGGGCAGTGGAGGACAGAGGGGACAGTAGGCACAGAGGGGACACTAAGGGGAGAATGGGGGACAGAGGGGACACTAAAGGGGTGGGGGGCCGTGGGGCACAGTGGGACTAGGGCACACTGCAGCTGTGTGGTGGCCGGGTGCCTTGGGGTTCTGGAGGGGTGCCTGGGGGCAACTGGGGGCAACTGGAGGGTACTTGGGGGTGACTAGGGGGCGTGGGGCCCACCTTGAAGAGGGTGACAGCTGCACTGTAGCTCACACTGAGCAGGAACAGGGTGATGAAGATGGACAGGGTGGTCCACAGCCCGTCCAGCTCTTCGTCCTGGGCGTCCTCACAGCTGTCGGTCAGCAGCAGCTCTGGGCAGGGAGGGGTGCTCAGCTGTGCCCTCTGGGCTGGCTGGGGGTGAGCCCTCCTGGGCTGGGGTGGCCCCCAGCTCTCTGTCCTCTCCCCAGGTCTGGCTGGCCTGAGGGCACTCACTCCCTGTCCTCCTCCCACCTGTACTGGGGCCTCCAGGAAGCAGCCCCAACCCGGCCCCCCACCCCGAGGCCAGACCAGGGGCAGGAGGGTCAGCAGAGCCCAGGGGAGGTCAAGGAGGGCCTGGGGAGCCCCTGGGCAGGGCGCAGGGGGGCTCTGTAGTGAGGGGGAGGGAGGCTGAGATCTGCCAGTCAGTGGTCAGTGTGTGGCCAGTGTGTCTGGGGTGAGGGCTAGGCTGGTGCCCAGGGAAGTGTGCCCGACTCCCAATCCTGTGCTCGGGGCCTGGGTGGGGGCCCGTGCAAGGAGCCCTTGTTGGAACAGCAAGTGTGCGACCCTGAGTATGCAACTGTAGGAGTGAAAGGCTGATATCTGCATGTGACATTGCTGAGTGTGTATGTGAGGCTGTGTGGGTCATGAGATCCCAGTGAGTATGCCCTGTGTGTGAGGCTTGCATGTGAGTGACGCCCGGACAGGTATGCAGGGCCCAGAGTGTGAGGGCTGAGTGTGAGCAGGGCCCAGAGTGTGGCTGCTGAGTGTGAGCAGGGCCCAGAGTGTGGCCACTGAGTGTGAGCAGGGGCCAGAGTGTGAGGGCTAAGTGTGAGCAGAGCTCCAAGTGTGGGTGCTGAGTGTGAGCAGGGGCCAGTGTATGGGGGCTGAGTGTGAACAGGGCCCAGAGTGTGGGTGCTCACTGTGCAGGGCCCAGAGTGTGATGGCTGAGTGCGAGCAGGGCCCAGAGTGTGGGAGCTCAGTGTGCAGGGCCCAGAGTGTGAGGGCTGAGTGTGAGCAGGACCCAGAGTGTGAGGGCTGAGTGTAAGCAAGGCCCCGAGTGTGAGGACTGAGTGTGAGCAGGGCCCAGAGTGTGAGGGCTGAGTGTGAGCAGGGGCCAGGGTGTGGTTGATGAGTGTGAACAGGGCCCAGTGTGTGTGGGCTGAGTGTGACAGGGCCCAGAATGTGGTGCTGAGTGTGAGCAAGGCCCTGAGTATGGATGCTGAGTGTGAGCAGGGGCCAGTGTGTGAAGGCTGAGTGTGAGCAGGGCCCAGAGTTGGGTGCTGAGTGTGAGCAGTGCCCCGTGTGGGTGCTGAGTGTGAGCAGGGGCCAGTGTGTGTGGGCTGAGTGTGAGCAGTGCCCCGTGTGGGTGCTGAGTGTGAGCAGGGCCCTGAGTGTGGGTGCTGAGTGAGAGCAGGGGCCAGTGTGTGGGTGCTGAGTGAGAGCAGGGGCCAGTGTGTGGGTGCTGAGTGAGAGCAGGGGCCAGTGTGTGGGTGCTGAGTGTGAGCAGGGGCCAGTGTGTGGGTGCTGAGTATGAACAAGGCCCAGAGTGTGAGGGCTGAGTGTGAGCAGGTCCCCGAGTGTGGGGGCTGAGTGTGAGCAGGGCCCAGTGTGCGGGGCCTGAGTGTGAGCAGGTCCCAGAGTGAGGGTGCTGAGTGTGAGCAAGGCCCTGAGTGTGGAGGCTGAGTGTGAGCAGGTCCCCGAGTGCGGGGTCTGAGTGTGAGCAGGGCCCAGTGTGCAGGGGCTGAGTGTGAGCAGGTCCCAGAGTGTGGGTGCTGAGTGTGAGCAGGGCTCTGAGTGTGGGTGCTGAGTTTGAACAAGGCCCAGAGTGCGGGGGCTGAGTGTGAGCAGGGCCCAGAGTGTGGGGGCTGAGTGTGAGCAGGTCCCAGTGTGTGAAGGCTGAGTGCGAGCAGGGCCCAGAGTGTGGGGGCTGAGTGCGAGCAGGGCCCAGAGTGTGAGGGCTGAGTGTGAGCAGGGCCCAGTGTATGTGGGATGAGTGTGTGCAGGTCCAGTGTGTGTGGGCTGAGTGTGAGCAGGGCCCAGTGTGCGGGGGCTGAGTGTGAGCAGGTCCCAGAGTGTGGGTGCTGAGTGTGAGCAGGGCTCCTAGAGTGGGTGCTGAGTTTGAACAGGGCCCAGAGTGTGAGGGCTGAGTGCGAGCAGGGCCCAGAGTGTGAGGGCTGAGTGCGAGCAGGGTCCAGAGTGTGACAGCTGAGTGTGAGCAGGGCCCAGTGTGGGTGGGCTGAGTGTGAGCAGGGCCCAGTGTGCGGGGGCTGAGTGTTCTGGGCCCAGAGTGTGAGGGCTGATTGTGAGCAGGTCCCAGTGTATGGGGGCTGAGTGTGAGCAGGGTCCAATGTATGTGGGATGAGTGTGCAGGGCCCAGTGTGTATGGGCTGAGTGTGAGCAGGGTCCAGAGCATGTGGGATGAGTGTGCAGGGCCCAGAGTTGAGGGCTGAGTGTGAGCAGGTTTCAGAGTGTGTGTGAGGAGTGTGCTGGGCCCAGTGTATGCGTGATGATGGTGCAGGGCTCAGTTTGTGTGGGCCGAGTGTGAGCAGGGTCCAGAGCGTGTGGGATGAGTGTGAGCAGGGCCCAGTGTATGTGGGATGAGTGTGCAGAGCCCAGCGTGTGAGGGCTGAGTGTGTTCGGGGCCCAGAGCGTGAGGGCTGAGTGTGAGCAGGGCCCAGTGTGTGGGGGCTGAGTGTGTTCGGGGCCCCAGTCAGGGAGGCTGGAGTGCGAGTGCGTGCACGCTTGTGAGGCTCTTGTGTGTGCACTCGTGCCCGTGTGGACAGGTGGGAGGTCCCCGCTTGCGCACGCACGGGGGAGGCTCTCGCGTGTGCGCGTGTGTGAGGCCGCCGGCCGGCTGGGCGCGGCGTGTGCGCGTGTGCGCGTGTGCTCCGTGCGCGGGCTCGGCTGCGGCGCCCCCCCGCCCCCCGCCGTGAAGAAGCCGGAGGACAGGCGGTGCGGGCACAGCTTTATTGCGGGCGGGCGCGCGGTCATTTACCGGCAGACTTGGAGATGGTCTTCTCCGTGTAGTGGTTGTGCAGGGCCTCGTGCATGACGGTGCAGGAGAAGGTGTCGCCCGCATTCCACGAGTCTCTGTTCACCCGCAACATGCTGTACTGGAAGAAGTGGCCCTCGCCGTCCTCCTGGGGGGGCGTGGTGTGGAAGCGGTCCTCGGGCACCGGCTGCCCCTTCTGCTGCCACTCCACGTACGTGTCGCCCGGGAAGAAGCCCCTCAGCAGGCAGGTCAGCGTCACCTTGCTCTGGGTCAGCTCCTCCTTGGGCGGGGGCAGCGCGTACACCTGCGGCGGCTGGGGGGGGCCTGGGGGGGGGCGGCGCGGTCACTCTCCGGCCCGGCCGGCGCCCGCGCCCACCCCCGCCGCGCCCGCCGTGCCCACCTTGGGTCTTGGTGATGGTCTTCTCGACGGGGCTCGGCAGGTCCTTGTTGTTGACCTTGCACCTGAACTCCTTCCCGCCCAGCCAGTCCTTGTGCGCGACGGGCAGCCGGCTGACCACGCGCAGGGTGCTGTTGTGCTCCTCCTCGGACTCCGTCTCGAACTCCGTCTTCTCCGTGCCGTCCACGAACCAGTTGAACGTGACCTTGGGGTTGTCAAGGCTCACGTCCACCACCATGCACGTGACCTTGGGCGTGTGGGAGATCTTGAGCGTGTCCTCGGGTGTCGGGGGGAAGATGAAGACGGAAGGCCCCACGTCCAGAGCTGTGGGGACACAGCGGCGTCAGCCCCCGGAGCCGGCGTGCCCCCCCCCTCCCCGCCCCCCGCCCCCCGCCCCCGCCTGCCTGGGTGACCCCCGCGGGGCGAGGCCCCTCGACTCACGCGGGCACTGGGGGCCGGGATCTTGCCTGGCACTGCAAGTGGAGGGGACGGGGTTACTGGGGCCGGGAGACGCCACCCTGGGGGGCTCAGGTCGGGGCCGCCGCCCCGCCCCGCCGACCCGCCCCGCGGACCCGCCCCGGGCCGGGGAGGCCTCCGGCCGCCTCTCGGAGCCCGTCCTCTCACCGATGGCCTTGTCCACCGTGGTGCTGCTGGCCGGGTGGGAGACGCTGCAGGTGTACTTCTGGCTGGGCCAGCTGCCGGCGGGCACGGCCACCATGCTGCTGAGGCTGTAGAGGCCCGAGGCGCGCAGCACGGCCGGGTAGGTGCGGGCAGTTCCGGACAGGGCGCCCCCCTTCCAGGACACGGTGGCCGGCTCAGGGAAGTAGTTGGACACCAGGCAGCCCAGCGCCACCGTGGAGCCGCTCCTGAGCCCGCAGGCGGGGGCCAGCGGGAAGACCTTGGGCGCCGTGGTTTTGGCTGCGGGAGAAGGCGCGTGAGGCCGGGCCCCGCCGGAGGCGCCCTCGTGCCCGGCTGCCCACCCCGGCCCCTCCCGGCCCCCGAGGTCCGGGCCGGCGGGACCCCCGGGGCATGGCCGTCCTGCCCGAGTCCCGGGCCCCGCCCTGGCCCAGCCCGGCCCTGCCCCGAGCCCCCTGAGCGGGGCTTCCCGGCGGGGCACGGCCGCCGCCCTGGCCCTCCCGCCCCTGTCCGGGCCCCGCTCTCCCGGGGCGGCCGGCGCTGGGCCCCCGCGCAGACCCCGGGCACCCGGCAGGGCGCTGCTGCCCACCCCGGAGCCGGGGCCTGCGTCCCTGGGGACGGCCCCGCCCCTTCAGCCCAGCGCCCCGGGAGGGCCCCTGGGGGCTGCGTCTCCGGCTTCCACCACCTTCCTCTGGGCCCCGGCGGCTCGGCTCTGGCCCCCGCTCCTCCACCCGCCTCCCCGCTGAGCCCCGACGCCCGCGGCGGGGCGGGGGTCACCCGCCCAGAGGGGCTGTGCGCCGGGTCCAGCACCACCCAGGATCCTCAGCCGCCTGCCCGCACCCCTCTGAGGGGCACCCCTGCCCTGCCGCCCTGTCTGCACCCGAGTTGCTGGGGAGTCTCCAGCATGTCCTGCCCTCCCGTTACCCCAGAGCGGCTAGCTCTGCCTGCGCCCCCAAGCTCCTGGGGACCCCCGGGCGTGATCAGCCCTCCTGTTACCCCACTGCACGCCTGAACTAGCTCTGCCAACTCCCCGGAGCTCTGGGGAGCCCCTAGCCTGCTCAGCCCTCCTGTTACTCCTGAACTAACTGGCCCCCCGAATTCCTAGAAGCCACTGGCCTGTTCATTCCTCCTGTTACCCCACTGTACCCTTGAATGACTCTGCCAGCTCCCCTACTCCCCACTAAACTCTGAGCTCTGTGGGAGCCCTGGCCTTCCCTGCCCTCCTGTCACCCCACAGTACCCCTGAACTAGCTCTGCCTGCTCCTCAAGCTCCTGGGGAGCCCCTGCTATGCTCAGTCCTCCTGTTACCCCACCGTACCCCTGAACTAACTCTGCCTGCTCCCCTGAGCTCTGGGGAGCCCCTGGCCGTCCCTGACCTCCTGTTACCTCACTGTAGCCCTGAAGTAGCTCTGCCTGCTCCCCTGAGCTCTTGGGGAACCCCAGGCCTGCTCAGCCCTCCTTTTACCTCACTGTACCCCTGAACTAACTCTGCCTGCTCCCCCGAGCTCCTGGGGGGCCCCTGCATGTTCAGCCCTCCTGAACTAGCTCTGCCTGCCTCCCTGAGCTCTTGAGGAGCCCCTGGCCTGCTAAGCCCCCTGTTACCCTACTGCATCCCTGATCTAGCTCTGCCTGGTCCCCTGAATTCCCAGGGAGCCCCTGGCCTGTTTGGCCTCCTGTTACCCCACTGTACACTTGAATGACTCTGCCAGCTCCCCTGGCTCCCCACTGAACTCTGAGCTCTGAGGGAGCCCCTGGCCTTCCCTGCCCTCCTGTTTCCCCAAAATACCCCTAAACTAGCTCTGCCTGCTCCCCTGAGTTCCTTGGGAGCCCCTGGCCTGCTCAGCCCTCCGGTTACCCCACTGTACCCCTGAACTAGCTCTGCCGGCTCCTGGAGCTCTGGGGGAGCCCCTGGCCTTCCCTGCCCTCCTGTTACCCTACTGTACCCATGACCTAGCTCTGCTTGCTCCCCTCAGCTTTGGGGAGCTCCTGGCCTTCCCTGGCCTCCTTTTACCCCACTGTACCCCTGAACTAGCTCTGATGCTGCCCCGGGCTCCTGGGAAGCCCCTGGCCTGCTCAGCCCTCCTGTTACCCCAATATACCCTGAAACTAGCTGTCTGCTCCCCTGAGCTCTGGGGAGCCCCTCGCCTTCCCTGCCCTCCTGTTACCCCACTGTACCCCTGAATTAGCTCTGCCTGCTTGCCTGAGCTCCTGGGAAGCCCCTGGCTTGCTCAGCCCTCCTGTTACCCCACTGTACCCCTGAACTAGCTCTGCCTGCTCCCCTGAGCTCCTTGAAAGTCCCTGGCCTGCTCAGCCCTCCTGTTACACCACTGTACCCCTGAGCTAGCTCTACTTGCTCCCCTGAGCTCTGGGGAGCTCCTGGCCTTCCCTGCCCTCTGTTACCCCACTATACCTCTGAACTAGCTCTGCCAGCTCCTGTGAGCTCTGGGGGAGCCCCTGGTTTTCCCTGCCCTCCTTTTACCCCACTGTATCCCTGAACTAGCTCTGCCTGCTCGTCTGAGCTCTGGGGAGCCCCTGGTTTTCTCTGCCCTCCTGTTACCCCACTATACCACTGAACTAGCTCTGCTTGCTCCCCTGAGCTCTGGGGAGTCCCTGGCTTGCTCAGCCCTCCTGTTACCCCACTGTACCCCTGAACTAGCTCTGCATGCTCCCCTGAGCTCCTGAGAAGCCCCTGGCCTGCTCAGCCCTCCTGTTACCCCACTGTACCCCTGAGCTAGCTCTGCTTGCTCCCCTGAGCTCTGGGGGAGCTCCTGGTTTTCCTGCCTAGCTGTTACCCCACTGTACCCCAGAACTAGCTCTGCCTGCTTGCCTGAGCTCCTGGGAAGCCCCTGGCTTGCTCAGCTCTCCTGTTACCCCACTGTACCCCTGAACTAGCTCTGCCTGCTCCCCTGAGCTCCTTGAAAGTCCCTGGCTTGCTCAGCCCTCCTGTTACCCCACTGTACCCCTGAACTAGCTCTGCATGCTCCCCTGAGCTCCTGAGAACCCCTGGCCTGCTCAGCCCTCCTGTTACCCCACTGTGCCCCTGAACTAGCTCTGCATGCTCCCCTGCTCCTGAGAAGCCCCTGGCCTGCTCAGCCCTCCTGTTACCCCACTGTGCCCCTGAACTAGCTCTGCCTGCTTGCCTGAGCTCCTGGGAAGCCCCTGGCTTGCTCAGCCCTCCTGTTACCCCACTATACCACTGAACTAGCTCTGCTTGTTCCCCTGAGCTCCGGGGAGTCCCTGGCTTGCTCAGCCCTCCTGTTACCCCACTGTACCCCTGAACTAGCTCTGCCTGCTTGCCTGAGCTCCTGGGAAGCCCCTGGCTTGCTCAGCCCTCCTGTTACACCACTGTACCCCTGAACTAGCTCTGCATGCTCCCCTGAGCTCCTGAGAAGCCCCTGGCCTGCTCAGCCCTCCTGTTACCCCACTGTACCCCTGAGCTAGCTCTGCTTGCTCCCCTGAGCTCTGGGGGAGCTCCTGGTTTTCCTGCCTAGCTGGTTACCCCACTGTACCCCAGAACTAGCTCTGCCTGCTTGCCTGAGCTCCTGGGAAGCCCCTGGCTTGCTCAGCCCTCCTGTTACCCCACTGTACCCCTGAACTAGCTCTGCCTGCTTGCCTGAGCTCCTGGGAAGCCCCTGGCTTGCTCAGCCCTCCTGTTACCCCACTGTACCCCTGAACTAGCTCTGCTTGCTCCCCTGAGCTCTGGCCCCTGGCCTTCCCTGCTCTCCTGTTACCCCACAGTACCCCTGAACTAGCTCTGCATGCTCCCCTGCTCCTGAGAAGCCCCTGGCTTGCTCAGCCCTCCTGTTACCCCACAGTACCCCTGAACTAGCTCAGCCTGCTTGCCTGAGCTCCTGGGAAGCCCCTGGCTTGCTCAACCCTCCTGTTACCCCACTGTACCACTGAACTAGCTCTGCATGCTCCCCTGAGCTCCTGAGAAGCCCCTGGCCTGCTCAGCCCTCCTGTTACCCCACTGTACCCCTGAACTAGCTCTGCATGCTCCCCTGCTCCTGAGAAGCCCCTGGCTTGCTCAGCCCTCCTGTTACCCCACTGTACCCCTGAACTAGCTCTGCCTGCTTGCCTGAGCTCCTGGGAAGCCCCTGCCTTGCTCAGCCCTCCTGTTACCCCACTATACCACTGAACTAGCTCTGCTTGCTCCCCTGAGCTCTGGGGAGTCCCTGGCTTGCTCAGCCCTCCTGTTACCCCCCTGTACCCCTGAACTAGCTCTGCCTGCTTGCCTGAGCTCCTGGGAAGCCCCTGGCTTGCTCAGCCCTCCTGTTACACCACTGTACCCCTGAACTAGCTCTGCATGCTCCCCTGAGCTCCTGAGAAGCCCCTGGCCTGCTCAGCCCTCCTGTTACCCCACCGTACCCCTGAGCTAGCTCTGCTTGCTCCCCTGAGCTCTGGGGGAGCTCCTGGTTTTCCTGCCTAGCTGTTTACCCCACTGTACCCCAGAACTAGCTCTGCCTGCTTGCCTGAGCTCCTGGGAAGCCCCTGGCTTGCTCAGCTCTCCTGTTACCCCACTGTACCCCTGAACTAGCTCTGCTTGCTCCCCTGAGCTCTGGGGAGCCCCTGGCCTTCCCTGCTCTCCTGTTACCCCACTGTACCCCTGAACTAGCTCTGCCTGCTTGCCTGAGCTCCTGGGAAGCCCCTGGCTTGCTCAGCCCTCCTGTTACCCCACTGTACCCCTGAACTAGCTCTGCATGCTCCCCTGAGCTCCTGAGAAGCCCCTGGCCTGCTCAGCCCTCCTGTTACCCCACTGTACCCCTGAACTAGCTCTGCTTGCTCCCCTGTGCTCTGGGGAGCCCCTGGCTTGCTCAGCTCTCCTGTTACCCCACTGTACCCCTGAACTAGCTCTGCCTGCTTCCCTGAGCTCCATGAAAGTCCCTGGCCTGCTCAGCCCTCCTGTTACCCCACTGTACCCCTGAGCTAGCTCTGCTTGCTCCCCTGAGCTCTGGGGAGCCCCTGGCCTTCTCTGCCCTTCTGTTACCCCACTGTACCCCTCAACTAGCTCTGCCTGCTCCCCTGAACTCCTTGGAAGTCCCTGGCCTGCTCAGCCCTCCTGTTACCCCACTGTACCCCTGAACTAGCTCTGCATGCTCCCCAAGCTCCTGGGAAGCCCCTGGCTTGCTCAGCCCTCCTGTTACCCCACCGTACCCCTGAACTAGCTCTGCCTGCTTGCCTGAGCTCCTGGGAAGCCCCTGGCTTACTCAGCTCTCCTGTTACCCCACTGTACCCCTGAACTAGCTCTGCTTGCTCCCCTGAGCTCTGGCGAGCCCCTGGCCTTCCCTACTCTCCTGTTACCCCACTGTACCCCTGAACTAGCTCTGCATGCCCCCCAAGCTCCTCGGAAGCCCCTGGCTTGCTCAGCCCTCCTGTTGCCCCACTGTACCCCTGAACTAGCTCTGCCTGCTCCCCAAGCTCCGGGTGAGCCCCTGCCTTCCTCTTACCCCACTGTACCCCTGAACTAGCTCTGCCTGTCTGCCCTCCTGTTACCCCACTGTACCCCTGAACTAGCTATGCCTGCCTGCTCCCCTGAGCTGCAGGAGAGCTCCTGAGCTGCCCTGAGCTCTTGTTACTCCACTGTACCCCTGAACTAGCTGCCTGCTCTCCAAGCTCCTGGGAACCCCTGGCCTGCCCTCCTGTTACCCCACTCTACCCCTAAACAGCTCAGTCTGTTCCCCTGAATCTGGGGAGCCCCATGTCTATCCTCTGTTCCCAGCTGCCCTTGTACCCTTATATAATCTCTGCCAGCTCCCCTGGTCTCTGGAGGTGACCCTGCCCTCCTGTCCCCGCTGCCCCTTGTCCAGGCCCAGCCGGGCCCCCCGCCCCCCGCAAGCCCCTCTGTGCACTGGTCAGTGCGCATGGGGGTGTGTGGGCCCCTGGCCCCTGACCCCTCGGGCCTCCCGCCCACCAGCCCTCCCAGAGTAGCTCCTGCTCCAGGCCCCTCCCCTCGCTCGGAGCCCCGTTTGAGTCCCCCCAGTCTGGGGGTCAGTGCCTTGACCCCAGCCTCTGGCCCCCACCTGTGCCGTCTGGGCCCAGCACTGGGCCCCCCTCGACTCCCACTCACCTGCCGCCCTGGCTCGGGGGCCTGGGCTGGGGCGGGCGTGGGGCACCTCGCCCGTTGCAGCCCCGTCCTGTCCTCCTCGGGTGGCCAGGCTGTCCCTCTGCGTGGCCCATGGCGGCCCTGCCCTGGCCCCGGCTCCGCGGAGCCTCTGTCCCCTGCCCCCACAGCCCTCGCCGTGGGCGGCACCTGCCTGGTGCCCGGGGCCGAGGTGTGAACCCCTTGGGCCCTGCAGGACTAAGACGGGGATTGAAACCGGGGGCACCGGCTCAAGTTCCCCTTTCTCATGGTGGTTTCTGGCTCGGGGCGTGGGGGGAGTCCAGGGCCTCAGGTGCGCGCATGGGGCACACCAGGGGGTGCCCGGGGAGGGGTCACGTGCTGCCTGCCCCGGCCCCCATCTGGGTGGTGCCCGCTCGGCCCCAATGGCACTGGCCCGGCCGGGCGTGGGGGTGCGCAGGCCGCTGGCCGCCTCCCCGGTTCGCCAGCTCCGCCCACGGCCTCCCGTCGGGCACAGACGAGCTCTGGGGCTTGGGGGGGGGTGCTCGGGGGTCACGGGGCGTGTGGGCCGAGACCCCACTGGCCGCCAGGAGGCGTGTCCCGTCCAGGTCCCCGGGCGGGTGGCCGCCTGGTCAGCCGGGACCGCGTCCTCTCCGGCGGGCCGGAGAGGTGGGAGCGCCTCGGCCCGCGCCCGGGATTTTGGTTTCCTCCAGCCCTTCGGGTTCTGCCGCAAAGCCGCTGAATCGCGTGTGCGAGCTTCTCCCCCCGCTGCCCGGGGGCCCAGCGTGGCCAGCGCCGCCGCTCCAGCCTGTCCTGCCGCCACCGGTCCGGGTTCGGTGCCACCCCACTCGGCAACACGTCCGGGCCACCGATGACCGGAACTGGCTGCGGGCCCCCGGGCCGGTCCGGAACCCGCTTTGGCAGGAGCGCTCTGCAGCCCCCGCGGCCGGCGTCCCGGCACCCGGACCCGGGCACGCCCGCCCGCTCCTCCGAGTCCCTTCCCTCCTCGCCGGGTTCAAACGCGGCCACCCGCGCCTGCCGTCCGGGCTCCGTCCCATGACCGAGCCACGTGCACAGGCCCGTCAGGGACGGTGGGCCTCGGTGTCCCCGCGGGCTGGGCTCGGCCCCCGCGGGCCTGCTGCCTCCCCGTGAGCCCCTGCAGTGGGCTCAGCCCCCTGGACGGTCCCCGGCGGCCGCTGCGCCATCTGTCAGCAGCGGCCACCGGCTGCCTCTCCATACTCACGGCTCCGTCCCCCCTTGTCCTGGGGCTGGCCGGGACTCCCGGACGGGAGACGAGTGTGCGCTTGGAGGGTCTGGCCTCGGCCCTTGTGAGGAGAGCCTCTCCCCCGGAGCAGTTTGCTCGCGAGGCTCGCCCTCGCCCACCCGCCCGGCCACGCCGACGCGCGCTCTCCGCTGTCCGTGCCTCTGGCAGGCGTCGCCATCCACACGTAGGCCAGGCCCCACCCGGACGCACCGCGCTGACTGCCCAGGGGCCAGGCCACGGCCGGACTCGCCCGCACGGGCTGGGGGCAGCCGGCTGCTGGAGTGACCTGCCGAGGGCGTTCCGGGAAGAAAGCCGCGCCAGGGAGCAGAGAGGGACCTTGAGGGCAGGAGTCCGGGGGTGCGGGGAGCCCAGGCCCGTCGTCCAAGGGGAGGGCCCAGGGACCGGAGGGCGCGTCAGACCCAACGGAAAGGGCAGGAGGCGCGGGAGGAAGGGGCATCCGAGGTGCAGGGGGGCAGCCGCCTGCCCGGCTGCCGGTGCCCCGTCCCGCGGGTGGGCGTGTTGAGCCGGCTCGGGGAAGGCCTGTCCCGGAGGCGCCCAGCACAGCTTAGAGGGGACGTGGCGGCCCGCTGGAGATGCCTGGTGACCAGAGTAGACGAGCAGGCGCCCAGCCCCGCCAGGCTGTGTGGGCCAGGGCCAGCCTGCTTGCCGACGCGGGGCTTGTGCACTTCTGCTCCCGCGCCGAGGGCAGTGTGAGGCTGGGCCTGACAGGCGATGCTGTGGCTGCTGCCCGCAGGGTCTCAGCAGGTCCAGCGGGGGTGGGGCAGGGAGCCACGTGGAGCTGGCTGGCGGTGGGCACCATGTGGGAGCACCGATGGTCAACCTGGAGCCTTCACCTGCCATCCGGTGCGGGACTTGCCAGAACTACCACTGGCATGATTTGTGGGCCCAAAGGGAGCCGTGGATGAGGCTTGTGTGTTCCTCACAGCGCCATGACCTCCAGAGCAAGGGGCCCCAGGGAGCAGCACATCCAGGCTGGTGTGGGCTGCGGTGCCTGGAGGGAGAAGCGGGCGGCGCGCAAGGAGCACAGCTGTCCACATGGGAGGACCAGCTCCAGGCGCCAGGAGGCGGGCGAGGAGCACTGCAGCGCGCGGGGTCCAGGCCACGAGAAGGCCTCAGGGAGAGGTGGGAGCGCCCAAGGCCTCTCCCCCAGGGTGATGGGCAGGTGGCCCAGAAGGTGATGTCCGCAGAGCTCGGCAGTGGACGGTGAGAGATGACAGACCAAACCGGGATCTCAAATGGACATTCTTCGGTAAAGAAAATAATAGAACAAATTTCTTGACTAGGCCAAAAAAAAAAGTAAAAAAAAGAAAGAAAGAAAGGAAAGAGAAGAAAGGAAGAGCAGCAGGGCAAGAAAGAAAGGAGCAGGAGAAATCTTTTCAGGAACAAGGCTGGAAATCCTCCAGAATTAGTGGCAGGCACCGGACCACAGACCCGGGAGCCAGGGAGAGGCGGGCCCCATCGCGACCCCTGGGAGGTCACGACCCCGGGGGGTCAGACGAGAGGAAAGGCTGAGTGCAGCCGAGAGAGCCTGCGGGGTGAGGTGGGGGCGCAGGGACAGGAGAGTGCCTGGTCGCCAGCCCGCGGCCGGATTCCGTACCCAGCACAACTATCCCTTAAACGTGAGGGCAGCAAAACAGGGCGTCTGTTGCCAGCGCCCTGCCCCCCGCAAGGAGGGCCTTAGGGCGCTCCCCAGGGAGGGAGAATGACGCAGCAGGGAAAGCGAGGCCCACACCGGGGGAGGGGGCGCCGCCGAGGAGCAGAGGGAAGGCCGGGCAGGCGCTTGATGTGTCCACCCTGCGGCTAGTCTGCCGCACCAGCTGTCCTGGGGGGCATGGGGAGCGGAGGGGCGGGGCGGGGAGGGGGGAGCGTGGGGGTGCGGCGGGAAGTGTGGGAGCTGAGGCCGCCGTGAGCCCCAGCTCTTCCGTGTCTTTGCCTTCATTGTTCTTTGCGGTGACCGTCCTGTGCCGCTCCGCGCCGACAGGGCAGCGGGGAAGGAGCCTCTCGGGCAGGAGTCCGGGGCAGGGTCTCTCCGCGCTGACCACGGCGCGTGCAGGAGCGGCCGCAGGTGTGTGTGTGGGGGGGCAGCAGCAGCACCGAGACTTTCCTTGACGTTCTCCCTGTTTCCCGCCGGGGCTGGGCCAGCTGGCGGCGCGGCCCGCTCGTGTGCATCCCCGCTGCCCGCGCCGTCCTCACCTTTCATTTTCTGTCTGAGTCTAAAGAGGAACGCGCTGCCCTTGGAGCTGGGCTGCGCCTGCCTGTGGATCCCGCTCGGCTTCTGGACGCGGACTCCGAGGGTCCGTTCTCACCCCGCCGCCCTCGTCCTAAGGACTCAGGGAAGAGCTGGGGAGGGGAGGGGCGGGGAGGGGGAAGGGGCAGGGAGGAGGGGTGGGGGGCTGGCGGGGGCGGGTGCTGCCGCCCTGCACCTGCAGACTCGGGGAGCAGCGCCCCGGATCCGGACGCCCGGGCGTGAGCGGCCTGCCCGCTGGCTGTCGCCCCAGGTGCCCGGCTGCAGCCGTGCGGCTCTGAGGGGAGGTGCCGGGAGCCGGGGCCTGGGCCTGACTGGGATTCCTGGGCACAGCAAGCCGGGACCCCACAGGGAGGACAGGCTCCTGGCGGGGTGTTTTGATGTCTCTGGCTGTGAGGCCCGGCCCGCCTTCCAGGGCCGCAGCGGTGAGGCCTCCAGGGCCTCCAGCGCATCAGCATTGCTCCCTTCAGGGGCCCTTGCGCTGTCCCAGTGCCTGCCCTGCTCGCCCACCCCGTCGAGGGCGCGGCCGGACGGCTGTGAGCGGGGCAGTGAGCGGTCCCCGCCCGCCCCACCTGGGCGTCTGTGTCTGCCGTTGTGCCTTAGGAGTCGGCTTTGCATGGGACGTCGTCGCCTCACGGAGGAGCAGGTGGCCCTGCGGGCGCCGTCCCAGCAGAGAGCGAGGCTTCGCGCTCGGACTGTCCACTTTTCTTCTGTCGCCTGCGCTGTTGGAGTCGGAGCCAGAAGTCGCTGCCCGGCCGCGGTGACGTTCATCCTGTATTTTCTTCTGAGAGTTTTGTCTCACGTGTAGGTGTTTGCGTTATTGCGCATAGTTTAGACAAGCGTGTGGCCGTTCAGCTCGCCGGCACCGTCTGTGGAGATCATCGCCCGTGCCCATGACCGGGAGCCGGGTGCACAGGGCACTTGCAGACCCTGATTCTGCTCCACTGGCCTGTCCACTGGTCTGTGGAGGCCTTGGTGCTGGTGCCACGATGTTTTGGTGACTTTGACATGGTAAGTTCTGGGGTTCGAAGCGCGAGCCCTCCAGCTTTGGACTTCTTTCACCTGATTGTTTTGGCTGTTTGGGGGCCTTGAGATTCCAAATGAATTTTTGGGTCTATTTTTCTGTTTCTGAAAAAAAAAAAAAAAAAATCTCATTTTTCCATCTCTGTGGGTGGCGTGACGCTTTCACCACGTCAAGTCCTCCAGCCCCAGCACAGCGTGGACGTCCATTTTCTTTCATTCCTTTCAGCATTTTGGGTGGTTTTCATTGTGCAAGTCTTTCTCCTTTTTCATAAATTCCTAAGTATTTATTCTTTTTGATGCTGGTACAAACAGGAATGTTCTCGTGGCTTCTTGTTCAGACTGCCCTTTGCTAGTGCCTAGAACAGCAGCTGGCGCTGCGCCCTCTACCTAGCTGAATTCACGATTTCTAGCAGTTTTTTTTTTTTTTTCTGTGTGGAATCTCTAGGGTTTTCTACGTATGAGATCGTATCATCTGCTGACAGAGATGAATTTACTTCTTCCTGCCCGATCTGGATGCCTTTTACTTCTCGTTCTGGCGGCCCCTGGCTGGGGCTTCCAGGCCGCTT